ACTGCCGCTTTGAAGTCGGTAGTATTGTTACATATATGTTCGAATCTCGTTAGTTGTCCCGTGAGCACACCTGCAGCCTGATGAGCCGGAGCGTTGGAGGAAGCACTGGAATAACGTATGACAGGGAACGTCCAGGTCTCGACCTTATCAAATTCGGCAATGCAAAGTGAGCCATCAGGCCGAACCAGGATTCTTGCCCCAAGGAAAAGAAATGACCCATCTTGCTCAGTAGTGTCTTTCCACTCAAGACCATACCGAGCAGGAGACGGCGGTAATGTCTTCCAGCATGTCCCCGGAACTCCACAAGCTCTTACGAGCCTGTGCTTCACACCTCTATTATGTAAGGTTGTCATCAATGAATCGATATGTGAATGTGTATGCTTGCGCAGCACGCAGATCCCGCTGACGAAGATCATCGATGAACTGTGCTTAGTCCCAATAAAGCGTGAGGTTGGCAATTTCTGGTCCGGCGTTAGTGCCCATAGGGATACCGACCACCTGATGGCGCAGCGTGCCATCCCTTGTATAAAGGTAAGTATTAGAGACCACGAACCGCAGATGTTGCTCTATTTCTGACACTGAGAGGGTGTCTGACCCATGTGAAGTAACCCAATCCCCATGATGAGGACCACCTATAGTCATGTACATCTGTACTGGCCTTCTGGCCTGTGAGATCCGCCCCAAAGCATAATCATGTGCTTCACGAACAGCATTCAGAACATTGTTCGTGTACATAGTTGTAAAGTCCGCTGTGTGTGCGTGTGTGTGTGTTGTCATGTTCACTATACACAACTCCACAAAAAGAAAGCATGACTGTGCCAGACTCTTTCGTCGGACTTTCACCGATTCATCAGGGGGTTAAACCTTGACAGTCTGCCCCAAATGCAATTAGCTGATGGATAGCATGTTTAACACCCCTGAGAAAAGTGGTCCACTTTACTGTGCATGTTTAGACGGTCAACATGACAACCCATTTTCTACCCAGATGAGTAGACCCAAAATTGAAGCAGCTTTACCTCACAGTCTTCTATCGAGTTATATTGCCTTGCCCTGTGCAGTTCTTTCTTCTCTTTCCCTGTGCAGTTCTTCTGGTTCCCTGTTCAAGGCTAACCACATCGATGCAGTTTAACACGAGCTGAGTGCACCACCGTGTATGCAAATGCAAAACACACACACATCATCACGCCCACACATACACACACACACACACACACACAGAGAGA